AGGGAAAAAACAAGAGAAAGAGAACTTCAATCCATCTTGGGTTTTGCTTTATTGAGTGCAAACAAGAAAAACTAAACCGATTAATCACTAGTTTGGAAGCTTGGGAAGCCTAAGAAACCAAAAATTTCAAGGAAAAGTGGAGGATCACTCTTGCAAGCTCTTGTCTTGAGGTATAATGGCTGATCACCCTTTCTTTCTCCATTACTCTTGATTAAGTTGGGTATTATGTTTAGAATTGTGCTTGTGATGCCTATTTCAAGTGATTTTGATGATTGGAGTGATGAATTTTAAGTTAGGGTTTTGAGTGATTTACTTATAATTCTTGTGGGTTAGGTATTGTATGATGTATATATCTGGTATATAATCTTGTAAAGGTGATAGTAGTGGTAGTTTCAAGGTAAAAATGTGAATTATAGCTTGAAATAACAAAAATTCCAGATTTCTGGAAAATTTAGCTTCAGTACTGTCCGATTCTATTTCTCTATGTTAGAGGCTGAATTAGGCTTGGCACAAAACATGAAAGTTGTAGGGAATGATAATTTATAGTTGCCTACCAAATTTCAGCTCAATCGGAGCAACGTAACCTATGAAAAGACCAAATTACCCTCACTGCCCTAGGATACATCCAGTGATCAGTTTTAGACAGTTCATCCAATTGACCGTGTGTATTCACTATGATCCGTGCTGATTTAGACAGTTCATCCAATTGACCGTGTGTATTCACTATTCACTATGATCCGTGCTGATTTAGACAGTTCAGTTTTAGACAGTTCTCAAATTGAGTTTTATCGCAGATTTGGACTCCAAACCCGGAGTACCACCTGAAAGTGACCAGTAAAGGCACTATACCTTTTGGTGAGTGCTTTCAAATACCGAATTGAACTTGATACTTGTGTTTGATACGTAACCAATGTGATTACATGTTGTATACGTGAATTGTTAGGGCGAGAGTGTACTTTATCGCACTTGCCCTTACGTGATATATACTTGTTTATTGTTGCAATTGACTTGACATACTTGTTTATGAGGTGTGCACTTCCTGGAATTCCAGAAACCCTGCGGCAAGTTACTCGAGTCGAGCCGGCAATGGGCTTGGTCGATTGAGTAACGAACCCTGGGTCCCTTGTTTGTCGAGTGGAGTGATATCTTCTCGACTAATCGGTATACTCGAGTATTACCACCCGTGTTTATTGAGGATTTTGGGCCAAGCAGGGGGTTTGAATGGTGGACGGAGAGTAGTGTAAGTGGTGTCCTACTGGATTGGTTACTTACTTGAAAGTTGACGGAGTGTCAACTATTACGTGATCAAGCTCCTGGTGATGCAATGGGAATTTAGCTCCTGAGAGCCCTCCGTATCCTTATACTTTGGAATGATTATTGCTTATTGGATTATTGTTTATTCTGAAAAACTTTTACACTCGCTCATTTTGGGATTGCTACTTGACGTGTTATTGTTCACTTTTATGAACTGTTCATGCTCGTTACTTTGCTATATCGAAAACTTGTACTTATAAATAATGGTCAATTTGCTATTTGGAACCTCACTGGGCTTTTAGCTCATTCCACGCCATTTGTTTTCCTTACAGGGGTACGAGCGAGGCGTGAGACATGTAAAGACTAGCGTAGCCTAGTTGTTTTTGACTTTTGACTTGTACTCGCGCTATCCCTTGATTAGGATGATTGTACTTGGATTGTATACACTTTGAATCAGTTTGGATATATAGAGGCTTTGTATTTTGAATATGCATCGATGTAAATTGTAAGTGTGAATTGCGATGTTATTTATTGTCGACGATTGTATGCACGTGATACGAGTGAGTGAGTCCTGGCGAGAGTTGGGCAGGCGGTCCGCTAAACCCTAGGGTACGCCCAGGGAAAGGTGGGGCCGTCACAGATGGTATCAGAGCTCCTATTGAGCTCGTGCCGGAAGAGGGTTCTCGGACTGTGGGAATTGGCTTGTTAAGTGTGAAATCAATGTCTATTGTTGGGGACCTTAGATATGTATGTTGGGTGGGAATCTCAAAAGTGGTTGATTTCCTCTTGAGCATAGCTAACTCGAGTGGGGAATGATCATATTTTGGATTCTTGTACCCGAGTACCAAAGGGTGATACCTTTATGATAAATCGATATCTCGAGTACTATTACGATAAGGTTGGATGGCGAAAGCCAAGGCACGGGGAATGCAAATAATTTGGACTTGGGATATATTGAAGATATTAGTGAGAATTGGAACCCTTAGCATGCAAGTGTACGTATTTGGTTGTACTTCTTCAAGTTTTGATTAAGTGTAGCGCCTGACCAATACCTAGAGTTAATGTCCCGTAGGATGTGTGAATTGCTATGATATATATATAAAGAAAGTATGTTATTTTCAATGTGTTTTGAAAATACTTTTATTGACCCTTATAGCTATTTTATTTTGCTTATACTTATTTACGAATAAATGAATGAATTTCGAGGACGAAATTCTTTTAAGGAGGGGAGATTGTGATACCCCGACTTTTAGGATATTACGGTTTCTATATTTTATTTTTTGTTTTAAGATATTGTTTTGTTATAAAGATTAGAAACCCTAAATTCTAATCAAAAGGAAAAAAAAAACCCTAGTTTACTTGTGACTACCCGGTTATCCAAAATCCCTTATATTTTAATCGAACCAATAATTGTTGTAAGTGCCCGGTGCAACCCAATGAGTACAAACAATTTCACAATGATGCACAAAGATATATCAAATTTAAGCACAATAAAGAAAACTTAATGAAAGAGAAAAGATAAGAAATGCAAACCAAATATCAATCCAATAGCCTCTTCAATAGATGGCGATGCTAACCAAGATGTACAAGTGAAGGCTCACTCCTTCCTCACCCCAAACACACTTTGGTTGAGCCAAGGAGTTTTACAACTATTCTAGTTAACCCTCAACAACCTACACTTGAAAGATCACTCACCCAAATAAGAACTATTTTATACAAATGAGGCAACCTTCACCAAGGTTTTACCACTCCAAGTGATAGGTTCACCTTCACCAAGGTTTTACTCCTCCTAGAGAGTAACCTTCACTTCAGCAACCTCACAACCCAACTTTCCCAACCCCTTATACAACCAACAAAGAATCTTTCTATTCAAAAATCTCACTTGTAAGCTTGTATTTTGTGTTGGCAAAAGTCCCTTGTCTTCTTGTGCTTTGGGGTATTTATAGAAGGTGAGAAATGGCTCCAAAAGGCTCTCCAACGGTCAAATATTAAATGCTGTCAAAACTAGCCGTTGGCCTGTCGGACGTCCGAACCACCTGTCGAACGTCCGAACCCTGCGTCCAAACCACCTGTCGGACGTCCGAACCCTGCGTCCGAACGTTGACAGAGAGTCATCAAATCTTTGCGAAATTTCTCGGACGTCCGATGCGATCGATGTGCGTCCGATCCTTGCGTGCGTCCTTCATTATTGAATTGTTAAGTATTAAATTTAATACATTTGAGTACATATTACATTCAATGATAAGTGAATAGGTTATCACTTAATTTTGAGACAGTTTGCATAAGAAATTCAGTGTCACTTAATTAATTCAGATGTTCAATTTTTTGTTATCAACAGTCTGAATATGTTAAAATTTGAATCCATTAAAGTTTAAATATTAAATTGAAATTATCAAACAAGACCTAAAACTTAATAGATTCATATTTCAAACTTTATATTTTAAAATTTAAATTTTATTAAACACTAAAATGCCTAAGTGCTGAATGAAATTATCAAATATGGGCAAAATCGTCATGGAGTTAGTCGTGATAGCAATGCCAATTTGGTTGAATTAACGAAAGGAACACCTTGCCAATTGAAGTACATCTAAAACACAAAATTAAAGAGGACAAATATCGCTACCCGAAAAATCAAGGGCCAAAGTGGGACGGAAAAATAGTTATGCAAGTTTCTTCTCTAGCCCTATATCACTGCCCCCCGTTGCCCCTCTTCCTGCAAAACCAAACCTTTCTATTTTCTGCCCTGTTACTCCTAGCAAAAATTCATAAATCATATATAGTATTTAAGAAGAAACCATTCCCTCTCTCCCCTATATTCATCTCTGTAGACAATTGCATTGCCCTCTCTGCCCCACAACTACATACACGCAAAAATATATCACAATATATATATAAATATACATTATTTTGTTTTTATATATAGAGAGCTTGGCGGTTATCAGAAGTGGTTAGGGTTCTTTTGTTTCTGTTTTCGGGATCGCTTTTTAGGGTAACTGCCTGTATCTTCTCGTCCAAAATCAAATTAGCACCAATTTCCTTTTTCTGAGATTAGGTTTCAATTCTGAAGTCTCAATTTTCAATCGTTTCTGGCCCTATATACAAATTGCGGTTACATTTACATATTGCTCCTTTTTTTTTCTTGGTAATACTGGTTCGGCTTGCGGCGTTTGATTCTACAAACCCTAATTGTTGAGGCGACTCGTGTTTTTCTAGGGTTTTTGGGGCAATTGCTCCAACTTTGTTGATTGCGCTTTTGTTGTGGTTTGGGATTTTGGTGTTTAGAGGGACTGCTTGACTGTTATTTTGTGGTTTTTCTTGTTTATCTCTCTGTCCGGTTTTTCCTTGTTCGGTTGTTGCGTGGCAAGGACATGGAGGGTTGAAAGGTGGGTTGCGGGATTGGGGAATCCATCTTTTTTTTGTTGAAAGATGGAGAGCTAGGGAAAATTTTTAAAGTTGATTCAATGCCACTTTGCTTTTGGTAGAAACTGGATGATACCCCATTTTGGTTTTGTTACTGGAGGATTCTGAGAATTGCATAGAGGTTGAGGTTGATAGAAGCGCCTGCCATTGCGGGGATTGTTATTTTCTACTGTTATTGGATGAGAGAGAGAGAGAGAGAGTAAAACATTATAAGGGAGCTAATTGGGGATGGTAGATTGGTTTGCTGTGTTACTGGATGCTTATTGAGAAAGCTGGGCGTGGTTTTGGATTAGAGGTTTTCTGGTTTTCTGTTAACGTGTAGGTTTCCTTTCGGTGCATAGAAGGTGATATAGGAATTTCTTTTCGGACAAAAGTTTGGTGGAGAAAACAGTGTTGGGAGACTATAGTTTATTGCCTACATAGTTTATTTTCATTCTGAATATGGTCAGAACTGATGGAAAGAAGTGAACCTGCATTAGTTCCAGAATGGTTGAGATGTACAGGAAATGTTGGTGGTGGCAGCCCTTCAAGCCACCATTTTTCATCTTCTTCTTTGCACTCAGGTAATCTTAGTTTATCAACTGTTTATGCACTGCACAGTTCAAGTTTACCTCACCTTGTGTTTGTTGTGCTCCCACACCCCCTCATGATTTCTGAGGATGCATTACGTTTTTTGTTTGCTGTTATAGATGTTTCTTCGTCCTCAGCATGGAATAGATGTTCTAGAAGCAACAGTGATAAGGATAGTCAGCGGTCTCCTTTTCTGGAACGTAATCATTCATCTAATTGTAGGCGTAGTTCAGGAAATAATGGTTCTGCAAAGCATCCATACAGCAGTTTTAATAGAAGTCACCGGGATAGAAACCGTGAAAAAGATAAAGACAGGTCCACTGTTGGGGATTTCTGGGATCGAGATTCTTCTGATCCTTTGGAGAGTATTTTAACAAGTGTTGAAAAGAGTTCCTTGAGACGCTCTCAGTCATTAGTGTCCAGGAGAACAGTTGAATTGTTACCCCGTAAGTCAGAGGAATTGAAAAATGGCATGAACCTGAATCAGTATATTGCAAATGGCAGTCATCTGGGGGGAAGTAATATAAGCGGTGTTCATAAGGTTGCATTCGAAAAGGATTTTCCTTCTCTTGGAAATGAAGAAAAGCAGGGAGGATCTAGTATTGGGAGGCTATCTTCACCTGCTCTTAGTACAGCTGTTCAGAGTCTTCCTGTAGTTAACTCAGGGTTGCTTGGTGGTGAGAAATGGACTTCTGCCTTGGCGGAGGTGCCCTCTGTAATTGGCAGCAACAGCATTGGGAACTTAAGTGCTCAGCAAAGTGCTATTGCAACTCCGTCTGCTTCTTCAACTGCAATGGCTGGCCTTAACATGGCTGAGGCGTTATCACAGGCTCCACCGCGTGCACGCCTCACTCCCCAAGTAATTATGCCCTTAGTTTTAACTTAATAATTTAACTCTTTGATGCGCATAGTTTCATACATTTCTCAATTCATTTTGCAGGTACCTGATAAGACACAGAGGTTAGAAGAATTAGCCATAAAGCAGTCTCGGCAACTAATTCCTATGACACCATCGATGCCCAAAGCCTTGGTAAGATATACTTTTTCCTACTCGTTTGTAGTGATACTTTAGGCTATTTTTCGAGTAAAGGTCTGCGGGGTTTTAATAATCAGTCTACCTTCTAGCCGATAACTGTGTGGTGGTCATTCCTTGTTAATTCTGAACCTGTGCCCGATTTTTGTGTTATTATGTTGCTGTGCAATGTTGGAAATGTATTACCTTGTACACTGTTGGAATTATAAAACCCACAAATTTTGACCATAATTTGACTAGTGGAGCATGAATCTTTTTTAAACAGTGATTCTATTTATTTTTTCTAGACATGTCTTTTTTTTAAAAAAAAAAATAGGCAGTCATCTTCAGAAATGTTCATCTGTTTTAGGCTGGTTTTGCTTAAAATTCAGAAATATGGATAATAATTTGTGTCCTCTTAAAGATGATACGCAAACTCTCTGTGTTGGAAGGATATTGGAAATGACTCGTTCTATGATTCCTGGCTCTTTCAGTAGTCATTTATGTATCTTATGAAGAGTTACCTCCTGGAAGATTTGAATTTATAAATTTTATATGAAGTTCTCATTGGTAACACTCTTCTTTCCAGGTTTCCAGTTCTTCAGACAAATCAAAGCAACCAAAAGCTGCAGCAAGAGTAAATGAGATGGTCGTTACTCCTAGGAATATGCAGCAACAGCAGCAGCAACCAATCTATTCACCTCAACTTCCTAATCAATCTCGTGCTGGCCAAGTCAGGTCTGATGCTTCAAATGCCTCTCATGCTGGAAAGTTTCTGGTTCTGAAGGCTGCAAAGGAGAATGGTGCCAACTCTAATGCTAAGGACGCTTCTAGTCCAACTAACAATTCCATTAGAAAGGTGGCAGTAAGCCAGATTCCACTATCTGCAATAACTCCAATTGCTCTGACAAGCCCTACTAATCCAAAGGCTTCCACTCTTGACAAGAAGGCAGCTGCATTGTCTCTGAATTCGAGACCTACCGCAGAGAAGAAATTTTCCTTGTCTCAAGCACAGAGTAGGAGTGATTTTTTTAACCTCATGAGGAAGAAGACCTTGCGTAATACTTCTTCTGCCATCTCGGATTCAGTTTCTGTCATTTCATCTCCTTGTGCTGTTAAGTCTGAGGAAAATAGTACAGAAGCTAATAGTGCTCCAATAAGTCCTCTTGTTAATGAGAATGGGAGTCAGATGATCACTGACGGTGATAGTCACAGCTCTGGTGATCAGGTGCAAAGTTTTGTGGATGCTGGAGAGAGAAATTTGTATCTTAATGGAGCACTCTATCCAGATGAAGAAGAGGCTGCATTCCTTCGTTCACTTGGGTGGGAGGAAAATGGGGAAGATGTGGAAATTACAGACGAGGAGATCGTTGCCTTTTATGAGGAGGTAACTTTGCTTCTATTTCCAAGATAATGTCCCAATTTCCAGGTTTGATTTGTTGGAAAAGAAATGATTTATAATCATCTTCTTCCTTAACTTTTAAATAAAAGGAAATTGAGCACAACATATTTCATGGGTATAGCTGCATTTTCCATTTCTTTAATTGAGACCAAGATACTAGTTGGATGTTCTTTATACATGCCGGTAAATTTGAATTTGGCTGTATATGTCTTATCTGTTTATATGTAGTTTAGAAAACAATAGTGCAGGGTGTATGTATGCCTTATAATTGAATAAGATTACTAAGCATATACTAAGTTTTGGATGTTTAGTCTTTTCATTCCAATCTTTGGTTTGTTTAGACAAAGTTAAAAAGTTCACTTCTGTACAATGCCCTTTCCAAAATTAAGTGTGCTCCCTTTCTCTTCTTTAGGAGAGTAATCTTCTCTTTGATGAAGATCTGGCAACAGTTTTCTTAACCTTCTCTTTTACGCTTCCTCTCAATAGACCTATCAAAACCCTCATATTTCTTTCAAAGAGATATAGTAGTGAAGTCGGACAAGATAGAGGTGCTAATACCAGCAGAAGCATGAGAGGATCTTAAGGCTGCTTTGGTGGTCTGAACCCCTCAACAGTGATGTGGGGGGAAAAGACGGGCAGAAGAACAAATCTAAAGAAAATGTCCCTCATTATTCATCAATCTCTGCACAAAACAATGTACGGACACAAGTGTTTTATAGGCTATTAACTTTCCTGAAAGATTTAGAGCTCCTATTTCCTTTAGTAAGTAGGAAAAACAAATTAGTTGTGGAACTCCCTTATCAGCTAGACTTCAATCTGTTACCTTCTGTAATAAACAACTAGATAAGACATTACTTCACCATTATGAAAAATTTCCTGCTATCAAATAAAGGGCCAAATTATCCCGTAAGACCTAAAATTCTAGAAAATAAATCTCATGGTGCAAAACTATGATGAACTTAAATAAAGATATTTAGCTGACCCATTCTTTTCTCCCAATTAGGCTTCTAATCTACATGGGATGCTTAGTTGAATCATTAAAATCTTTAATCTTAGATTTCCTTGAGCCCTTTGTTGACTACATCAAGAAGTTTATTATTGATTGATGAACAATTACAATGGTTTTACTGTAGGCCGCATAAGTGGATAATATCTGTTATTGTGCTTCTAGTGAAACTAACTATATGCTATATTTAGATGTATTGTTGTTGAATTGGATGTATTTAATAGCAATGGTAATTAAATGATTAGATGCAGTAATGGTTTATATTGATCGAAAGTGTAGTAGATTCAAATTGAATTACAATTCTAATATATGTACTCCAGGTCTTAGGGTAAAGGTATTGAGTCTAATTTGGTTTTATTAAATTTTTTTTTTTTGGGGGGAAAAGGTATTGGTTTTACTGAGAGGCACCAGTGGAGTGAAACCCAAAAGAAACAAGTAGTTATCTTGATGAGCAACCCCTATAAAGAATGGGCAAAAGATAGACCACTAGTTGAATACTGGGCATTTATCCAAGAGTAAAGGGTGTATGAAGACTGAGATTGGACTTGTTATTCATTCTGTTGGTTTCTAATCTCTGTTGTGAGTAGTGAACGAAATTGACGATGGCCTTGCTGCTAATGGGCTGTGCAAGAGTAGGAGTCTTGTTGCTTCTTCATTTTCCTGGCAAAGAAAGCAACTAGTATCCTATATCTATTCCTCTTCCTCAACTTATCCTTAAGCAGAACTTGATCTTGGCACATAACGTGCTCTATATCTGCTTAGAAGGGAACTTACCTTTTAGCAAATGATGACAGCACGGTGAAATGTCATCTTTTCTACCATTCCATTTCACTGTATCGGCCTTTTGCTCCACTGCTCCAGTTTTACTAGATTCTTTAGAGCTTTCAAGGCTAGCTAAATATGGTTAAACTGCATCTGTATCAGCCATTTAAACGTTGGTCTATTGTAGTAATAGCACTAAGTACTGACTGTGTATTGCACTGAGTTTTGCTGCCAAACTATTAAATGAAGATTTTAAACTTAGACACCCCCCTTCTGATTCTTATCTGTTCCAGCTTTTCTGATGTGGCCTAACGCTGAGATTGATATTAAGGATTACGATTCAGTCTGAATGAACCTGATTGTACATGAAAGCCACAAAGGGGAATCAACTTTAGGGTACTTTATAGTCGACAAACCAAGTGGTAAAGCTTTTTGGTCTGTGTTTTGTAACGACTGACTAATTGTACAAACTTTTAATGTGTCTTAACTGGTTGCCCTAAAGCATCAGTTTATAGCGAACTCATACTCAAGCTTAAATTGTTCAATAAAAAATCAATGCAAGTATGCTACATGATTTGTAGTTTGCCAGTTAACTGCATCCGAACTCTTCTACTTTATTTATTAAATTTTGTATTGTGAATTTGCACTCTCCAACTATTGGGTCTTGGAAGTTTGCAGCATAAACTTCTTTTGTAAGATTCAGTGCCAAAACTTCTTTTTCAGAGTTTGTTGTTCATTTAAAATTGCTTGTTAAGTTTTTGATCGAGAATTGTGCATTTAGATTTCAAATTGAGACTCGTTTCTTAAGATCTGTCTATTGGTGTATTTAACTGATGTGCTAATCAAGTGCATTAGCTATTGGTATTTGACCCAGATCTATAAATCCTCTTGTTGAATTTTTGCTACTAGACTATAAATAATCCCCTTTCTTATTATTTTCTTCAAAATTTTCAATTTTGATCTTCAGTTCTTTACTTTTCAGATTAGATGTACTGTGAGAAATTAGATGTATGTGTAGTATGCTAGATGGGGATTTGCAAGTTTGACAAATGAAATTTGGATGCATAAGGTATAAATGTTCTGGAAATAGTGGAGGGGGACATGATCATTGTATAAGTAATCACCATTTTGCTGTTGTAAGATTGTCTTTTAAGAGCATGTACAAGCTTACAAGTCTTTTAAGAGCATGTACAAGCTTGCAAATATCCGGCCTTACATAATTATTTATGAATACTGGTGAAGGATAACAATAATATCCAGTGCAACATCCATTACTTATGAATACTAGCAAAATGAGAAGTGAATCTAATTCATTCTTGTACTTGCTACTCCTTTTCTAATGGGTAGATTGCTAATATAACCCAGGTAGCAAAGTAGAATACCACCAATTTTAATAGCTCCAATATCACAATGCGAAATGATTGCATGTTTTTTTTAATGGGTTGATAAGTTAATTGTTGACTTGAGTTGATTGTAAAATCATGCGTTAAAGGCTTCCTCTGATAATACCTGAAGGAGGATTCCTATCTGTACTACTCATTCTAGGTCAAACTATCTCCTATTTGCTAAAACAAAATTGTGAGAAGTCAGATATGAAAGTATATTAATAATTTATTTGAGAAACTCTCGGCTATTTAAGAGCACAGAAACAGTTACTGGATTGCATCATACTTCGACAGCTTAATCATTAACAGTGGAGGAAAAGATAAACCACTTCCCGAAGCCAGAAAACAAGAGGATTGCGGGTCCCACGTAAATCATCACTTGATTTACCAATTTGTGAACATTAGATTGAAAGCCGTGTGTGAAGACTTATGTAATCAAAACCATTGAGTTGTTTGACCGAAGACCAAAAGTCTATTGTTAAAAAAAAAAGACCAGAACCGAGTCAAAAAGGAAAAACTTTATGCAACAACAACTCCATTGTTAATTACTTATGGGGCCCATCATCTATAATACATATTATGCTTTAAGGAATCAAAAAAGTACTCTTGCCATTTGGTCTCTTAACCTTATGCTTTTACAATTTATGGAACCTGGAGCTTTGGTCAACCGAAAATAACATACAAACAATCGACTGGCAACCGAAAATTTAAACACATAACAATCATGTATTTAATCGCATCAGAGTCCGCAGCCAGTAGTTATGAAAACATAACCAATAGTAATAAAACTATGAAATACTAACACAAGATTATTTCCTAATAATCAACCATATGGGCTCTGATACCACTTGTTAGGGTGGTTATCTAAATTTAACCATTGCTGAAAACCATCACCTTTAAACCCAAAATCTATATGGCGATTATTAAGAAATAAATTAACTATAAACTGGCGGAAGCGTACCTGAATCCATATTGATAAATTTGACACTTGAATCCCTAGAGATTTTGGGGTGGCCTTCCAGGTCAACAAGTATTCACCGATTCTTTGAGAGAGACCTTTAGTTTCTCTCTGGTATCTTTCCTGACGATAGAATATCAAGGAAGAGTTATTTTATGGTATTAGGAAATACGACAACTAAAACGATCCCTGTGACCTGGAGACCATAACCCTATTTATAGGTAACATTTTGTTACCTTTTGGAGCCCTATTTCAGTTCATCATAGAAATAGGAGCCCTTAAGTCTCTACACATTAAAGACCCACATTTTATTAGATACATTAAACCCAAACTATATTTGATCACTTTAATTGGGTTTAACCTTAATTGACAGTTTGCAATACATAATTATTCACATATAAGTCCAATGTTGGATTAAGGATTCAACATTTATATCCAAAGCCCAACGCCCAAAATCAACCAAAACAAAGGATAAAACAACAAGGAAGTCATAAAACGTAGCAAGGCAATAGAACAAATTCATCAAACCCCAACCAAGGTTCGGCAGTGCAAAGTCATATGAACATCTACTGACTTCAAACCTAAAGTTTCAAGAAAATAGCCTAAGAGCCAAATCATAAGAATAAACAAGGTAATAAGAAGAAAAACAACACACAGCCCATGGCACAGATTCACCCTTTCCCGAAATTCACAATGTGAGAGAACAAAAAGGGATAAAACCCGCAACGCGTTCAGCAACTCATGTCCAAATGGGCCTCAATCTTTGTAAACAAATGTTAAATTAACAAGGAAAGGAATCTTGATTTACCTGGTAATGTTTTTCATGGCCAAATGGGCATGAGTTTCCCCCAAGAATGCTTGTTGTTGGCTGAAACGAAGCCAAGAAAATTTCGTCGCAGTGGGGT